CTCGAGGCGGGTGTCTGTCAGGAAGATTACCGGTGCAGGTAATTCCAGGTTGACTGGTTAAAGGTTACATTCCTGGGAGAGGCTGAAGCTACAATTAGGCTAAGTATTAAGTTTCAGTTTGCTGATGTGGGGCTTAGCAAAGGTGACTCCATTTTGTACTTGTTGTCTCTTTCTTAACACTGCTACAGGCAGTGCTATATAGAGATGTGAATCTTGTCTGTAGGAAATGAAGAGATCTCAGGGACCCCAGCAGGAAAGTGCCTAGTGACCCAGCTGCCCCACCATTCACTTCTTTTGAACTTAGCAATATTTCAATGCTTTTATATTACCCAGAACCTGAAAATGTTAGAGCTGAAAAAGACCTTAGAAAGCATCTATTCTAAATATTCTAATATTCCAGAGTCCAGTACTCCCTGGACGCCCTGGGACGCCTGTGTGTAGCCCACGGTCACACAGCAACAGAGTCTGAAATAGAGCTTCATCTCTTGGCTCCTGACTCAGGCTCGCAGTATTGGGCTTCTGTTTGTCACCTATCCCTTTATAACATCACAGTTGTGACTGTGGTTAACGTGCCTTGCGAGGCTACACTCTCAGATACCTTTAACTTGTTGGGGTGCTTTTAAGTCCACTTTCCCTTTTGCCCAGGAAAGCCCTGTGAAGAAGGAGCAGGGACTGTACAGGAGACAGTCAGTGGGGAAAAGCCCCATCTCCATCAAGCTCCCTGACTTTCCTAAGAGCCCTTTGTCCTTACGTAGCAGAGCCCAGACTACACAGCTACCCACTGTCTACTCTCTTCATTTCTACACCCAGGCTGCTGACGGTTCAGGGAGGAAAATGAGACGTCTGTCCAGATCGGCACCTTAGTCAGCTAAGGCTACCATAACAAAAGACCTTAGACTGGGTGGCTTAAACGTTAGAAATGTTATTTTCTCACAGTTCTGGGAGATAGAAGTCTTTGACCAAGGTGCCAACAGGGCCGGCGAGGACTCTTTGGGTTGTAGATGGCCACCTTCTTTCTCTGTCCTTATATGGCCTTTCCTCATTATATGTGAGGAAAGGGAAAGTGTGAGCTCTGGTCTCTTCCTTTTCTTATAAGGGCATTATTCCCACCCTGACCTTGCCTAAGCACCTCCCAGAGGCCCCACCTTCAAATCCCATCACATTGAGGGGTTAGGACTTCAACATAAAATTTGGGGGGGACACAGACATTCGATCCATAATAGCACCTCCTCAGACTCAATGTCTCTAGTCTCTCTTTCTTGGTTCTGCCCTACAGTGTTCCTCTGTGGTCCTGGCTAGCTGCCACTCCTGGTCCCCAGTGGTTATTTCAGATTGTTTCCATTTTCCTCAAATTCCCTGTTGCCCCCAGCAGATGACCTCCTCTGCTCCTGCTATGAAAGTAGAAACAGTTCCAGTGGGGCTGCACCCCACCCCCTCAGTCCTCCCCGCTCCTTCTGGGGCCTGTCTCATCTCTGAGCTCTGATTCCCTTCCCCTCCCACCTTGTCCTGAATGTGGTTCCATCAGTTGCATCCTCACTCTGACTCGGCATGCACATGGGTCTCTCACATTCTCCCTTGACTGCTCGTCTCCTGTTAGCTGCCACCCTCTCTCTCTTCCTCTTTGTGGCCAGACTTCTTGAAAGCCTCATCTGCACTTGCCGTGTCCCCTTTCCCCTCCCAGTCATTCCTGAGACTACTTCAATCCAGCTTCAGCCTCATCTGTGCTGTGACAACTATTCTCCTCAGGGTCATCGACGGCCTATGTTTTGCTGGGATCCTTATGCTATCTTCTGCCCAGCACTTGAAGTTGTCAGCCACCCCTCCCTCTTGAATCACAGCCTCCCTGTGTCAGCTGCTGTGCCAGCTCCTGATTTTCTTCCTGTCCCTCTGGCTCTTCCTTCTAAGCCTTTTAAAAATTGTTTTTTCTCTGCTTGGTTCCTCAGTGTTGGAGCTCTTCATTTTCTGTCTTTGGTCATTCTCTCTCTACTAATTCTACACACTGGATACTTCCATACAGTCCCATAACTTA